CTACTACCACTACTACTACTACTACTACTACTACTACTACTACTACTGCTACTTGTAGTAGTAGTAGTACTACTACTACTACTTCCACTACTACTACTACTACTACTACTACTACTACCACTACTGCTGCTTTCTGCTACTAGCTTGGAAGAACCGCAGCATGGTCTTCGGAACATATACAGTGGCAAACCATTTCCCCCATCCCACCGAAACCACCAAACCCATATAAGCCCTTAAACTCGACCCGCGAAGCTTGTAGTTACGCATAGGACGACTCCGGATTTCTGCTGGAGCCGGACATCCCGTCGATCGATGCTGCCCCAGCCTCCATCGTTGATGGTAGCGCTGGTTCGTCCTCGGGAGCACAGGCAGAAGCTGCGAGAATCGAGTCGTTCTCGTCTTCGGCTTCGTTCAAGTTTCTAGAGCTGATGCATGTATGTTCTTTGGCAGTTGTGGCTTGGTGTATAGTTCCAAAATCGGGGCCTATCTAAGGCTGACTTTCCCGAGCCTACAGCAAACGAGCTCCCCCTTGACGGTGCTGCCCCAGTTCCTCGAGGTGTTGGGGAGAAAGATCGACAACTGTGAGGATGTACTGGTGCCTAGCCTTCTACATCACGTCTACATCTAGTGGGCTTTGTATGTGTTTTTTGTGTGCATAATCTGCTCGTGCATAAACCAGGAGAAGCTTGCAAAGGTTGGTGGTGCTCGTGCCATGGCGCTGTTGAACTGTATTCACCTATGCAACCGAAACCAACCATTTCGTTCAATGTTTAGTACCACTGTGGTTTCCCAGGTTGCACAAGCAGGTCTCTGATGTCCTGGAATCCATGAAAACTCTGTTCCGCGAAATGCAGACCAAGCAATCCGATGCCTTGACCAAGCCAACCGATCAGCCATTCGCTTATTGATGTGTTGGCAAACAGTTCCTGCTGTGCATGTATACAGCATGTAGCCGCCTATCCTACAAACCCCAAGGGCTTTCGTTGATGGCTTGCTCAAGCTGTTTGCGGACACGACGAAGCAGGATTTGATCATGAACAATTATGTGGTTCGTGCAAAGATACCTGGCTGCAACAATATCTGCCTTTTCCCACACCGATCCCTTTGCATGAAGCCTATAAGGTCGGTGAAGTCGGGTACCGGCTCTGTCGTGAGCAAGGCCGACAAGGAGGAGAAGAAGGGTGGCAAGAAGGAGAAGAAGGAGAAGAAGCCGAAGAAGACGAAGAAAGACAATGGTGATGCCAAGGGCCCTAAGGGCAGTCCCAAGGCCAAAGCCAGTCGCAAAAAGACTGGCAACTGATTTTGCTGCGATGCAAAGCATCCTGGTATGAGCCTTGCAGCATTTGCGGCCTCGATAGATCTAGCTTGCTGGGACCATAGTTAAATCTTAAGGGCTGTCTTGTGTACAGCAATGGTGCCTGTAGCTCAGCAATGGTGTCTGTAGCTCAAGCCTGGTCATGCAAGTGCTGCCGTGCTCGACCTAGCTAGCACTCTGCTGTGAAGTGCCACCCGGGGATTCTCGAACAGAGATGACAGTGCAGACATGTGCGATGAAATACGGGTTGAGTGCAAAGTGTGTGTGAGAGAGAGAGGGAGAGAGAGTGCGCGGGTGCTTCAGCTTCAACTGTCCTGCAAAGCAGTGCTTATACTTACTATACAACATTCTGTATGCTCCTTCCGGTCAGGTTGGCTACAGGCTGCAGCAGCTCCAAGTGACAGCCGAGGCCCACAGAGCCTTTATGTTGCATAACTTGGTGCTGCATGTTGGCTTACTGCTATAAAGTAAAGCAAGCTCTGTCTTATAACATTCAGCTAAACCCTAAACCCTAAACCATAGACCCCAAACTTATCCTAAACCCATCGCCGATCGGTAATGTAGTACAACCAACAGTGACTGCACAAACATCTGTGCTAGCTGGGGGTTACATATGTAGTGGACAACTTGAACTAAGGCACCATTGAATCCTTAGCATCTGACTCCGAAACTTTCAGACCCCCGAGCCATGTACGAGCTTAGGTTTAAAGCCGAAAGCTGAGGCCCCGGGTAAAGCATCCCAAGCATGCTGAGTTTATGGAAACAGACAAAACCACTTTGCCTACAACCCTACAACACAGCCTGGCCAAAGTTCCCAGGTATCTGTTGTCTATATACATACGGATATGTGGTTTCCTTCTTGGAGAAGTAGTTCTGTAGCTAGGGCAGATCTGGTGGGTTGTGGGTGGTATAGGATCACTTATGATCTGAGGCTATATTGGGTTTTCCACATACCTAACAGCCCTGTAAGCCCTTGACATGAACCCTATACAACCCACTCCGCGAGCAGGTGGCTCGAGCGAGAATGACGAGCAGGATGATGATGATGACCTGGGGGATGAGCTGTTTGTAGGCTTCGAAGCAGGTGTCCCTTGTCTTCAGTTCCCGGAACTATATTTTACTAGGTCGTATAGAGAGTCGCTTACAAGGGCTTGATAGGGTTTAGGGGGGTTTATCGTTTAGGGTTTTAGGGTTTAAGGGTTTTAGGGTTTGGGGTGTAAGGTTTAGGGTTTTAGATGAGGCTGAGTCTGCTGGTCGTGTGGTGCGACTTGCTCAAGTGGCTGTGAGGAAGCTCAAGAAGCATGGCCACTTGTTGCAGTTTATAAGATGGCTGTCCAATGGTCTAGGATGTTTTGGGTGTAGTAGTTTCATTCCCATGCAGAATCAACAATTAAGGAGCTTTGGACCCCACCTTGAAAAAGCTGGCTGCCTGTGGTAGTGGTGGCCGGGGTTCAGCAAATGCATCCCGAAACCTTCACAAGTTGATGTCCAAAGAAGGAAAGCTGCTTCCAATTCCTATGACCCATTTTACTGTACCAGTGAGGATGATCAACAGGGGGAGGCCAAGGAGACAGGATGTGGAGTACCCGACACTTCTGCCTTCATCCTGGTTCCAATACTCTCTTCAAACAGGAGGCCAGGCATTTCTGGGTGGACATTCGATTCACGAGGAATCTAGCTACCGGGCCATGCTATCAGAATTCTGGCAGAAGTACAGAGCTTTGCACCCGTCGTTTCATTTCTTTGCACGCAAGGATTATAATGAGGAAATGGCTAGCCTGTCTGTGCCAGTCCTGGCGCATGGAGATGAGGGCAGAGGCAAGTGCAAAAGGCCTATCATGATAGTCGCCATACAACCACTCATAAGCTGGAAAGGTCCATCATTTGTCAACTCGAGTGGGTATCTTGTCAATTGTCAGAACCTTGATCCCTAAACCCTAAGCCCTAATCCCTAAACCCTAAGCCCTAAACCTTAAACCCTAAACCCCTAAACCCTAAAACCCCTAAACCCCTAAACCCTGCCCCTAAACCCTAAAATATACAGGTGCAACCCTGTGGCCCCGGTTCGAGTGCCTCAAGCCTGCTTCGCATCCCAGGCATTCTCTAACGACGAGAATGCTCTTTACTGTTATCCCTTCCGAAATGTACTGGGGGGACCTGACTCTGCAGCAGCTGCTCGGCGCAATGGTGACCGACCTGACCAGCTTGTGTCAAAGCGGGATAGAGGCCAGGGCTTCTTACTCGATCTTGTTAATCATACAGGGATTGGGGTAGTTGGAGAAGACAGCTTTCGGATTAGGATCCCTGTGGTTTTTGGGCAGGTGCCAGTTGGAGCCACAAAGCGCCGGTTCCGGCTCGTGTTGCTTTCCCTCAAGGGAGATTGGCCCTTCCTAAGGAAAGCCGCCGGATTGCAGACAGGGTTCACGAGCAAGCGTGTTTGCCACATGTGCAATGCGACGGAAACTACAGACTCGATTCATCAGTTTTGCTCGATGGTTATTTAAACGATTGAACAATGAGCCTATATAGGGTATATGGGTTGGTTTTATATGATGTCATGCATAATGGGTCCTACAGGAATGGTATGATGTCTCCAAAGAAACCTTTGGCAATCTTCAGCGGCATGATCTTCCGAGCCCCTACAAGGACAGTGAGAGACCATCCCCGTTCCGTGCACTGCTGGGCGATGACCCCAGTTTTGCCAAGCCGGACCCAGCACACACTTATGCGATTGATGGCTGGGGCAAAAGCCTGTGTGCGAGTGGGCTGATCCTTGCATACAGATTGAAGATCATCAAGGGCCGTTCGGTGCAAGTTGCACTGGATGAGGGGTTCGAGATGTTCAAGGGTTTTTGCCTCAGAGAAGGCAAGCAAACTTCCATTTGCCACTTCGACATGAAGAAGACTTTGAAGATTGAAACGAGCCTTGGCACTCGGGGGCGAGAGCCGAAAGCAATTATGCAGTTATGGGCAACCGTTTGTAGTTATAGGCCATCATCATATAGGTTCATAGGTCATATGCTGCACCATCAAGCCTTGCAAGTCTAAGCCCAGCTTAGTCCAGAAAGTTTCGGTCACCTGAACCCCAAAGCTCAGTAAACCCTGTCCGATATGTACAATTGAGGCTACAGCAGTTTCCTCGTGGATGTGGTAAAGGGCATGATACTGGACTTATGAACTCTTGGTTGGAGGAGCTTTGCAATGAAACAGACGAGTCTACTATTGCAGCTCGATCCAAACTATATATGTTTTCTAGCCTATGAAATCACATCTCCGAACCGACCTAGCTCACATCTACAAGCATACTGCTCAGGCAGCTGAGCACCTGGAGTTGTTCAAAATATTCCGATGGATGCTACGTGCATGTGGAAAACACTTCAGGCTGCTTTATGGAGCCGGGATATGGTTGTCTCGCAGCGAGGCCTCCGTGGCCATCGAAAGCGGTTGGGCAATGCTAGCACTCGGCCTTGGTTGGGAGCTTTGGGGCTTTTGATTAGTTGGCCTAGTGGGGTCATCAGTGGGGGTATATATATGATCGATATTATACCAGGCTGGTTACACCCTTCTAGCACGACGCTGTGCCGAACTGGGCTGGGCTTTGTTCAAAGTTCGTCCGAAGCTCCACATGCAAGCAGAGCTCATGTGGCTTATCTTAACTCGAAAGGTTTTGATAGTTGGTCCGCATAACACTTACGCCGTCATCCATACCCTGAATCTGTGAGCCTCCGGAGCCAAAGGCCAAAATCTTCCCCCAAGCTTCAGACCTGGCCTAAGTTTCATGATGCAAGTGGACTACGACTCCGGTTCGACCTTCATACTCAATGTGATGTGCTTCTTGCTGGGAACTATTCATGATGGCTTTTTTCGTATTTATTTAAAGTCGAACTGATGACTTCTGATGATGCTCCATAAAGCAGTTCAGGCTATGTTTGTTGGAGTGACGAGGACTACGTCGGTAGAATTTCAAGAATCAGTAGACGCTGCCATTCGTGTACAACGACCCAGAGAACCATTACGAAATCACTTGCATTCTACCGTCGGCAGTGCCGCAATCACTTTGGATTCTGAGTCCCTGGCTTGTGTCGTCGATCGTAGATCGAAGAAGGAAGTGCTGGTCGATGAAGAAAAATCTGTGCGTTTTTGTGTGTATACACAATGCGCCGACAAGCCCTTGACCCGCTTAAGTACTGGTGGCCCCGATGCTGATCTAGATTCCTCCGGATTACAGCCCAAAGCATTCCAAAGCTCGAAAACCCCACAGGCCCCAAGCCTAATCCATTTCAGGGTGTACAGGGTTTTTGGAGGTTAAGTGCTAGCTATCTCTAGGTTTGATTTAGGCCCGGGTATGTATATCGACCGGTTTAAGATAATGTTATCGTGCATCGGCCACATTCTGCTTAATCCGGCCATGTTTTAGAAAGTGTTATGTTTTTTTTTGAAGTGTAGTGGTTTTTTTTCGTTACACAAATAAACGTTACAATAGATTGTCTAGGGGTAATCCCAAAAAGGAACAACTACGGAGCCCGTGGGTAGGGGAAGGATAAGCCAAGAAAAATATGGCCCAAGTGTCAGCACCATCATTCTCATCACCATCATCATCACCCCTAAACTCTAAACGCCTAAACCCCTAAACCCCTAAACCCCTAAACCCTAAACCCCGAACCCCTAAACCCCTAAGCCTCATCGGTGAGGCCCCTCTTGCCTGCAGGCCATGGCATCCTTGGCCGCTCTAGTGCTTCGCACCCTGCCGGACACGGAGAAGTCTACGGGGGGATCTTTCAGGTTTTGTCGTCTAGGGTTTAGGGTTGGGAGGGTTTAGGGTTTACGGGTTTAGGATTTAATGTTTAAGGCGTTAGGGGTGTAAGGGTTTAGGGGTTTAGGGGTTTAGGGTTCAGGGGTTTAGGGGTTTAGGGGTTTAGCGGTTTAGGGGTTTAGGGGTTTAGGGGTTGAGGGTTTCCTTGTCAGGATGTTCGGAGAGAAGAAGTGTTGAGGGCTTCTGGTTTAGGATTCCCTTGCGTGGGCTCAGGGTCTAGTTGCGACACGAGGACATCCTCGCGCGTCTCTCTCTGGACACGACGCACGTATGGACTTTCAGCAACGAACCTGGCCCCCAAAACGTCTTAGGCACGAACCCTAAACCCTAAACCCTAGACCCTAAACCCTATAAACCCTAAACCGTGCACCTCTGCGCGAGGAGAGGCCGGAGCGGCTCACTCGCAATCTCCGCACCAGGAGTGTTCGCGCGCTCCTGCAGGAACTTACGCAGAGACTGGTGCGCATCCGCGAAGTTCAGGAAGCCAGGTCAGCGGCGATAGCGAGGGGTTGTACAGCACAAGTCCAAGAGTTTGGTGTATTCACTGACTTAGCCAATGGGAGATCTGCAAAAATCCCTGGCCTTACATATTATGGTGGTCTATCTTGGCAAGGTTTAGGGTTTAGGGTTTCGCACGTTTTTGGGGCCCGGCTATTTTAGACGAGAGTCGAACGTTGTGTATCCGTATAGTAGGGTTCTTAACAACACCATAGAGATTATATGAAAAAGCCGACCCGAGGGGTCCTACGGTTGATGACATAAATCCTGCATTACCCGTAGTAAGGAGTATACCATACTTCCCATAGTCTAGGGTGTTTAAGGTAATGCAGGACTTATATCATCAACAGTATGTACTGCTATGGGGGATACCGGGGATACCTCCCTAGCTCATAAGAGTAGTTCCTACTACCGAAAACCCGTAGTTGTACTATGTAGGTATGGGTAGTATAGATGACCCTAAACCCTAAACCCTAAACCGTTTGGCTAGCAGAGCTTGCTTCGAACCCTTGTCGCACTACAGAACTCGCTAAGATCCCTCCCCCAATCTCTCGCAGAGATCTGTCCTGCAGAAGTATTCTACAGGTCCTAAGCCCTGAACCCTAAACCCTAAGCTCTAAATCGTTTAAAGGTGTAGGGTTTAGGGCTTATTAGTCACACCATCTGCCTATAGTCCCGTCATACACATGCTGGAGTACAGTCGAATTGTTACTGCCCCCCATACTAACACCTTATAGTAGCCCTTATCGAGCCCTTGTGGAACCCCCAGAAGGAGCTTGAACCCTTCCCAGACCCCCGGGAGGATCTGGAAAGTAGATTCCCGAATTTGGGACCTTAACTACCAAAAGGCACTTCTTTTTGGAACCCCCTTAAGAGATCTACTTTTTGGATCCTCCCGGGGGTCTGGGTTTACGGGGACCCTACCCTAAACCCTAAACCCTAAACACTGATCCCCAAACCCTAAACACTAATCCCTAAACCCTAAGCCCTAAACCCTAAACACTAATCCCTAAATAAGCCCTAAGCCCTAAGCCCTAAACCCTAAACCCCTTTACGGGAACCCTGATCGCTCCAGAGCCTGAGGCAAAGAAGAGAGTGCAAGCAGCGAAGAGTTGCGGATGGCAGCAGAACATCTGGAGGCCCGCCTGGCCAGAACCGCTTGGGCTTTAGGGTTTAGAGCTTTAGGGTTTAGGGTTTCGGGTTTGGGGGGTTTAGGGGTTTAGGCGGTTTAGGGGTTTAGGGGTTTAGGGTTTAGGGGTCTAGAGTTTAGGGGTTTAGGGCTTAGCTTTCAAGGCTTATCATGATGTTAAGGCTGTTGGGGTGTTCAAGGGTTTAAGGTTCAGGACCTGGCCAAAAGCTCTAAGCTTAAACTCGAAGCCCAAACTGCAAACCTTAACCGCCCAAACCTTGAACCTGAACCAAACCCACGGTTTAGAGTTTAGGGTTCAACTTTGAGCCCTGAGCCTTAGTACTCTAAACCCTAAAGCCTAAACCCTAAGACTCTAGGGTTTAGGGTTTAGGGGTTTAGGGTTTTAGGGTTTAGGGCTAAGACTCCTGATCTTACGTCTTGGTGGCTGCGTGCACAACAAGGAAGTGGCAACTTGCAGGAACTCACAGGCCCTGACCCCTAAGGCCCTGACACCCTACTTGGAGGCCCAGGGGACTTAGTAGTTCAGGGTTTAGGGGTTTAGGGGTTTAGGGTTCAGGGTTCAAGATTTGGGGTTTAGGGTTAAGTGGGTTACAAGTAGAGTTCTAAGCACCCTAAGTGGAGTTACCCTATTTATGACCTTACTTAAAACCGACTTACTAAGTCCCCTGGGCCTCCAAATAAGGCCCTAAAGCCCAAACTCCCAACCACCCGGAAAGAAGCGGTGGG